TAACGAAATTCTGCTCTTGTTTTCACTAGATGACAAAAATTTTGCCATTCACCGGTGACGTAAACATGACGTGTCATCGCATACGTTCAGCAACAAAAATATTGTTTATTAAAAATAGTTAATTTAATAATTTAATCTTGGACTGGTATTAAATAATATAGTTTTTTTCTAACTTTAAATAATATGTTACGATCTGCTAAATGAATTTGGAATTGGAATTTTCGTGCTGAATGCAACCAATCTTTGCCGGTGCATAGGGTTGCCACAGTTTGTATTTTGTTATACAGAGACGTCCGCCATTGTCGCGTCTATCGTCAAATAAAAAGTGTGAAAATCGAGAGACCTAAAACACATTCAAATTGTGCAAATAGGTAAAATTTCGGTTTAAATATTGTGCAATATTCTGCCTGATAATATGACGAATGTCTGGAACGCTTTAGATAAGCGCTACTGATGCTTTTTATAAGAATTTTAAGACATGTGCAAATAAAGTGTGTGTGCGGTGAGGGAGAGTGAGAGCAACAAAAGCCAAAAACCGATTACATATACAGTTTATATACATTTAAATGGACTTTGCGCAAAACGTAGAGCAATGAAATGCTAACATTTAAGCGAATATATCGTATTTTTATATTTGCACAACTTTTTAGCTAACATTTTAAGGCCAAGCCAGTGCAAAACGAACACACAGAAAACGCAGCGAAATGGCCTCGCCCTCGCCGGCGAATAGTCCGATGCCGCCACCACAAGCACCCAGCCCCATGGCGCCGCCATCTCAAAGTCCTGCGCCCTCGCCGCATAGTCCCTATCCGCACCAGCCGCCCCAAGGACCGCCTCAAGGACCACCGCCCGGTGCACCCCACATGCAAGGGCCTCCGCCTCCGGGTCATCCAGGTGGACCATACGGCCATCCCATGCAGCACGGCCCACCCGGTCAAGGTCCCCCAGTACATCATATGCCACCGCATCATCAGGGCATGAGTAGGCGTAAAACTCTTTTGTAGTTCTGTTGAGACATTTAATAACTGGTTGCAATTATTTTCAGCTCCTCATATGGGCATGCAAATGCCACCAACTGGACCGAATATGTCTCCTCTTGGTTATCAAACGCACGGCATGCCGCCCAACGTAAGTGCATTAACAGACTTTCTTAACTAAGTGAATTTGTAGTCCTTGATATGATCTGCCTGCTCGATCAGTTGAATTGCCGCCTGGGCAAGCGACTCTGTGCCGGCAGCCACAAGATTTGGTTTCATTATATTGAAAGCACTGCCATTCGTGTTATGTACCACGCCGCCAGCTTCACGCACAAGCAAAACGCCAGCAGCTACATCCCATGGCTTTAGATAGTCCACGTGATAGACATCCAATGTGCCCTTTGCCACATACGCCAGAGACAATGCGGCGCTGGCCAAGCATCGCGTGCTATTGTTTAAGAAGACAATAGATATTATAATTATATATATGTATATTGTTGAAATTGCATATATATTATATTATAGTTCTAATGATAGCTTACCCAGCAGCCACAGAGCCGAGTTTGTAGGCACGTTTTAGACACCGATCACGCAATTGAGGCACATTGATCAAAGTAATTTCAAGTCCAACCACAGCATTAGACATCTGAAATTTCAGTGATACTTAAGACAATCGTTTCGTACGATATACCATACCTCAGTTGCACCGGTCACTTGAATAGGTTCACCATTTAGAAAGGCGCCATGACCTTTCCTCGTCGAATATAGCTCGTTGTCTACGGGATTATAGATAATGCCTATCACTAGCTCCTTATCAATGGCTAATGCTACCGAAATGCCGCAATGCGGCAGCCGATGTATGTAGTTGGTGGTGCCATCGATGGGATCTATGATCCATGTGGGCGCATCTGTTAGCTCTGGCAGCTTCTTTTTGTCCGCCAATGTTTCCTCGCCTATAAAAACGGATTCTGGGAAGGCTTTCAGCAGGTTCTCGGTTAGCTTTTCCTCAATTTGTTGATCGTAGACTGTGACAAAGTCGAAAAAAGCTTCTTTCACCATGATCTCCTTTTTGCTTTTATTGTAGCCCTCCATAAATATGGGTCCACATTTGGTAACTAGGTCTACAGCAACATCATAGTATTCCTTAATCTTTGTTTCTCTCGTATTCTGGTCCATGTTGACAAGCCGTAAAAAAGCTAAAGCATATAAACAAGTAAATATTTGTCGGCCCATGCTAGACCGATCGTAAAGTGGTACTTACAGTAGGATTTGCTGTCTATAGCAAAACTAATCAGCTCCGTTACTTTATCTACTGTTTTGATCAAAAAGCTTACAGAGCTTTCGCTTTCAAGAAGCTTTTCAATGCAAACAGATAACAACTTAATAATTACTGAAGCTTTTTTTTCGTCAGAACTTTATTGACTGAACGGGTTTTATAAATATATTTTGTGTAGATTCTAAGGGTCAGTGCCGCCAACAGAGCGCTCCTGATCTGCTTTGCGTAGCAGGTTCTCAATTTCTTTGCGCAATTTTTCGGTGCCGGCACAAATCAAATCTGGTTTCATAATGTCGAAAGGTCCGCCGAAGGGGTGTGTGACTACTCCACCTGCCTCACGCACCAGCAGTGAGCCAGCGGCACAATCCCAAGGATACATGTCCTCAATGTAAAACGCATCCAAATTGCCGGCAGCCACCATGCAGAGCTCATCCACAACACAGGAGTAGGCCAACAGGCTGAGCATTTAAGATGACGAATATTTCAACAACTTTAAAAGATATCAGTATCTTGACTAGCTTACCGTCTGGCATGCAATCCCACATGGTAGATGCGTTTGATATGCTTGTTAGCCACATTATGCACATGCAACAGGGACACCTCATAGGCCACATTGGCATCCCGCAAGCGTTCACACTCGCTCACATGAATGGGCTTGCCATTGCAGAAGGCGCCTTGTCCCAGCTTTGCTGTGTAGAGCTTGCCCTGGGCTGGATTATTCACAATGCCCAGCACGATTTGCTTATTGATTG